CTTTCTCCTTTCTGAAATTAAGTTCATAAGGAGCACTAACAAGGCGATCTCCATTTAACACCTCACCAAGTGCTTCAGTCTTTTCCTTCTCATGACCTGGCATTTAGAAGTACTCATTTTAGGATGATATACACATTAAGAACCCATCAGAGTTGGAAAATGCATTAAACAAAGTCATCACACTCTTATATTAATATTCAAATCGAGAAAGAGAAAGGAATAGCTTCCACTAAAACATATAATAATTTTTAAAGTAAAGTAATAAATAACAAAAAGTTGAAACATAAATTCAGATACTCACCAGTTACACAGAATGGCAGGTCTAAGTATCGATACGTTTCACTGGAACCAACCAACAAAACAAACAAACAAACAAACAAATAAATAAATTAGAAATCAGAATGATAACAAACTGAAACAACCTCGTAAAACACTATCTATACCTCTTAACGTTGTAATCTCATATAAACAAATGATATTATCATCATGTGGAACACAAAAAAATTCAAAGCAAGATCAAATTTTGATGACAACCCAGCATCCAAAACGGTTGAAAGAAAGCGTTACACAACAAACCCAAATCAAATGCAGTGGATCAGATCCGTGAATGGAAGAGAGGATACCTGGGGTTGTGAAAGGGACCCACTTTGTTAGCGTAAAGAGGAACTGGATCTCCTTCCTTGTAACGGTGATCGGAGGCATCGGATCTCACATGGGTTCCGTGAAATGAGATCAGAATCGTGAGAACGAAGAGCAACTTGCTCCTTCCCATTACCACTCTCTATGTTCTTCTTCTTCCTTCGCAAATCAGATAAGAAAAGCAAAGAGAGGTAAATGACCAAATTTATTTCCTTTTATGACTTTTTCTTTCACCCTTTTTTTTTTTTTTTTTGATAACAATCTTTCACCCTTTTTTAAGCTCGTGGGTTTCTTAACCAAATTTTCTATTCAATAATTCATTGCTAATTCATTCATGATTAGGGACTTAAATATTTAAATACTAATTTTTAAAGGATATAATGCGTTAAAAAAATTATAATGGGATCCACTTTGATTTTGTTTCACAACATAAGGTACGCTATCTTATGAAATGTAAGATTAGTTTTACCCTTAAAAAAATGTGATGTGTTTTTTTGCTAAAGCTACCGTCAATAAACTATAGTATTATTTATTAAGGAATGATATTGTAACAATCAATTAGTGTTACTACTAAAGTTACTACCAAATAATTTCACCGTTAGATCAAATATGTTAATCCTACGGTTATATTTATTTTCATCTTTGTATATTATGATTCCTTTTTTTAATACTTTATATTTATTTTCACCTTTGTATAGTTATGATTTCTCATATTTAATGATTTCACGTTAAATATGGAGAATCATAATCATACAAAGATGAAAATTGTTGGATTAATGTAATCGATCTAACAGTGAAATTGATTGGTAGTAACACTAATTTGTTGTTATAATATCCTACCCCTTATTTATTTAAAAAATTATTATAAACTTTTTGTTAAAATTTTAGTTAAGACAAATATGTTATACTCTTTATTTGAATAAGGTAAATACTTTCATATGAGCAGTGGCGGACCCAGAAAATTATATAATGGGGAAAAAATTTATATTATTGTTATGAAAAGGCAATATCAATTTTGGTTGAATGATCACGCTAAGAATACAAAAATACATGTTGAGAAGAACCTAATAAAATTACAAAAAAATTGCCAATTTTTTGGTTGGAATGTCAATTTTTTTGCTTCCGGTAACAGTGGTCCAATGCACCTTCTATTTCAATGAGGAACTAGCCTTAAGATCCTATATTTTATTTGTAAGATTAATTTTTTATTATTTACCTTCATGCCTTCTAGTGTTATAATTGCACTTTCTTTGATTTTTTCATAATCTTATTTTCTCACTTAGCTATTATTTAGCATAAGCAGTAGATTAATTAATGTGTTATTTATTTTTAGCATTTGGTCCCAACTAATAATTGATAACTATTATTGACCTTTTTTCTTTGCCAATAAAGTCAAACTTAAATACTCTTCTCCTGAATTTTGATATGACAATCTGTACAGATTTTTAATGATTATAAAAAGAAAATTAGATAATCAATCAATATAAAATCAAATTGTAGACAAATTTGACAAGTAGAGTGAATATGTATTACTAACTGAATTCTTTATTGTATAAAATGAAAAAACCAGCTTTCCACATTGACGGGGAAGGGTAGCATACCAAGAACAAAACCTACTATATATGTTGGCAAGTTGAATCTGGTAAATAATAGTTATTTTGAATTAGGTGCAATGAACATGTGGAACACTTATGAATAACATCGCTTGTCTTTCACTTTTTAAAAACACTTTCAATTTTTTTCTTTTTTCATACCATGTTGCATATCATATAGTAGAACATATTTTCATATTTAAGAAGGGGCGGAGGCCCATCCTAGCCCCATGTAGGTCCGCCCCTGCATATAAGTTATAAATTAAATATAAACTCTTCATATTATGTGTATAGATACAAAACTAAAAAGAATGGCTAGTCTCTTAAAAAAGGAAGGGACTGAAAAAAAATTTAGTAGTTCCAGACCATTAATTATTGGATGATCCTTTTAAAAAATTTAGGATATAAATAAAAAAGAGTAAAGTGGAAAAAAAAAATTCACATTTCCACATAGGACCGCTAATGGGACTTATGTGGAAGGTGCATCAAGCCTCTAATGAGTCTAAACTCGGTAGATTTGCAAGCATCCAACTAAGTGAAATGAGAGTTTAATAACTTAATTTGGTACAACGCACATCATTGGATTATTTCACAGCACAAGAATAAACGTATTCAAATTAACTGGTTTAAATTCAATGAATTTGAATCTTCAGATAAATTTTCATTGCAATCTTCTATAATTAAACTTGGGTTTCCTCTAATGACAGATAATTTGATAAGAAAATAAGTAATGATGAATGCCACAAATAAAAGTCCACGACATTAATATCCAAAAAAAAAAAAAGTCCACCACACATTAAGTACCAAAAGAGAGAATGAGGAATGTAACAGTAATTGAGGATCAATTTTAGAAAAAGGAAATATATTTCCCATATTACATGAAATAAAATTATCTCATACAACACACAAAAAATGGGTGAGATATATATATTTTTTTTCTCTATTTTTTTTTTTTTTTTTTTTTGTAAATTTCTCTATTTCTTTTCCTTAATAGATCCAACTCACTCATTTATGTATTGTATGAAACAATTTATTTTTATGCAACGTGATACATACTCGTCTTTTAGCAATTACCACTACTCGAGATCGTGAATCACGTCATTTGTCTGTGATTTTGTCAAATATCCTTCCTATCATATATCACAACTCTGGAAAATTTCATGTTTAAAAGAAATTGAAACGAGAAAGCGAAATTTATTCAAGAGTTAAATGCATTCATTTACTGACAAAAACTTAAAAAGAAAATTATGGTCAGAAATAAAGGATATTAAAAAAAATCCAAAATAAAAGTTAATAAAAAAATTGAATTGCTTCAGCTCAAAAGGTGTTGAGTTTAATTCTTTTAGAGATTATTTGGTATGGTTCATATTTCTACGCACATAATGACTCTAGTGGCGAGATGCAAAGAAAGTTAATTGGGATATGCAGATATTTGGTACTGTTACGAGTCTATAATTTATTTTTTTATTTTTTAATGATTTGGGTTTGGGCCACGAATAATTGTTGTTGCTTAGATTTTTTAAGTTTATGTATATTCCTATTATAAATTGAGTGTTGTAATGAATGCAGTGAGAAAAATAAGTGAATATTGCTAAATATAACCTACATTGGATTAACCAAATTAAATTGTGTCTATATTTTCTTCTATTCTCTCTTTTCTTACTTTGCGATTGTGTGTGATTGTTGCGATTTTAAGAGAGATCACAAAACTTTCTTTACTAGGGAAACCACACCATTTCCAGTGAGACGATCAACATAAAAAAAGTATATTCATCTCCAAAAACAAATGGCGAAAAAAATATTCTTTAAGTTATAAAAAGTAAGAGCATGTACGGATCTATTTTTGTTTTTCCACTTAAAATGGGGAAGAATATGTTTATAATTTTTTTTACAAATTTTTGCAAATTACATTATGTACTCCCGGAAGAATATAGGGTAACATAGTGTTCTCCCGAGAGAACATAGTGTAGTTTGTAAGATTTTATAAATAAAAAGTTTGTAAATATAACCGTCCTCTTTTAAAATTGTTTCCTGACAGACAATATAAAATCAGTTTGTTTTCAAAACAAAATGAACAAAACTGTGTTTGGGTGATTTATTTTGAAAAAACACATTTTAAAAGAAAAAAAATGTAAAAAATATCGTTTGGTAAAGTACGCATTAAAGATAGGTACAAATACAACAGTGGATAGAAGTTGAATTCCTCCTAATTTTGTTGATTATATGGATAGAAAGCCAATTTGTCAAACACCTTTGTATTAGAAAGAATATAATACTAATGAAGACCGATCACTTACAAGCTTAAATTAATAGATGATATGGTTATTTAACACTTTGTGAGTTGCTGTCCAACTAGTTCCCTGAACACACCCATTTCAGTATAGCCATCATGCATCATGCATCATGCAAGGAATTGGTTAGATATATTTTACCGTTGAACCAGCTTGCATCAATTACAATGTAGATGATGGTTTATTGACAAATGACAATGGTAAAGGTCTAATGGAAGCAACCAGCTAAGAGTAGCTGATGGTATCACCACATCTCAACAACATGGAAATCAAACATTTGTGTTTCACGAGACCGGTGGTTTCAGTGAGGACAAAGTTAAAAGACTTTAGTTACACAAAATTGCCATCGATGTGGTTAGATAATCACAAAACTGCCATTATGAAGACAAAAACCAGAGAACATACTTTGAGCTCATCTTGAAGATATTCTAATTTTCATAATTCTATAATATTTTTCAGGACAACTTTAAAACTTCCAACCAAGAACAGCCACTTCCATACAGTTTATTTTTTAAAAAAGAAAAAAGAAAACTAATTTATGAGAATATAAATCAAACAAGTTCTAAGCTTTCATGAACAATTGTAATGACCACGTGGCATATTTTAATGGTTTGTTCTTATGTACAACGTTGCTGATATAGAAGCACCATTTATTAATTATTACAGACATGCATAATCATAACTGATTTTTTCAGCTCTTCCTCCTCAAGACTGGCGAAAAGATAGCCTGCTTGGTGAATCAATCCTCACAATAATATCTTCTTCGACAGCAGAATCATCACTTGAATCATCTCTATGATGTTCTCTTCCTTCTGTGCTTTGTGAAGGGGGATTTGTAACATTTGGTGTGAACTCCTTCTTCACCTCATGGTCCTTGGCAGTTGCAGCTCCATCTGATTTCACCGAGACAAGTGGACGCCCTTGGTATGACCCCATGTTTGGATGTGACAAACTATGAGATGGTCTAGGATGATTGGCTGACAAACTTCTACTCCGGGGACCGATGTCCACCTTCAAAATCACAATAATTAATGGAAAAATAAAATAAAATAAAATAAAATAAAATAGAGCTTCATGTAGTAAGGGCAAGAATTTAAGATAGAAGCTTGATTGTTACTGTGCTTTGCATATACAGCTAGTTATCTCCTATGTAAGCCCTGGATAATCCACAAAGGTGATATAGCTCTCAGTTGATAAGAAAACCACATTATAGGTCATTTCACATTTGGCAAATTCCTTTTAATAAAGCAAATTAACATACTAGGCAAGTCAACTTAGGATAACAAATCAACTATTTCTAGTAATTTCCCTTGTGCATGCAATATATATGATCCGTGCTAGGCCAGATCCATAAGTTTCAGTGCCTACTGAATCATATACTATTGAGGCATTCATTGGCAACAAAGGCTTTCAGGATGAACTTAAGCTAGAGAAATAAAAGAAGGAAGATTTTCCTTTGAAAACCCTGCCAGAAAGCTATATTCTTTGTATAACCAATCAATCACAGTTTGAAATATAGAATTCTTGAAATTGAAATTTTTTTCATCAATGAAGCTAATGTCATTCTATACTGACATACCATGCTACCATAAATGCTCAGCTGCATTGCCCTTGCAGACAAACTTTGGGTTTGTTGCTCAATCTTTTCAGAACTCTTCTTATGGTGTTTCGGCTTAGAGAAATGTTCAGGCCAACTCATAAGACCACTATGTTCTCTGCGGAAAGATCTATGGGGATGATCAACGCCAAGTGATAACAGTGAACTTGACCTTCTAACAAGAGCAGCATCAGCTTCAAATGCTGCCATGTCAAATACGATTACCCTTGCTCTAGTTTCAACTAGATAACATGATCCTTGATGGGTAAAACTAGCTTGCTTGCTACCTGTTATAATTGAAAGTAAGAGATTAATGAAAATCATTTTCAACCCTTCTGACTTACATTTTCCCAAAAGGGCAATGAAACAGGAAAAGTGAGATAGGGGATTGCATAGGTAACTAGTCAAGGAAAAAGCGTAACGATCAAATTATAAATAAATATTACATGATGAAAAGCTAGCAAACTTAAATTTTGACGACACTATAAGAGGTATAACAGTAAAAAAAAAAAAAACCCATTATTGGACCTCCACTTGACTATTTAAGCTTTTAAAAAAGTTGGTCCGTAACATGGTACTAACTAAAACTTCTATGACTAAGTGGTCAAAGAGGTAATAGGGCATGTGTATTGCTCAAGCTATAAATCCAAAAGACGCTTGTGTGGAAGTTGTGCTAAAGATATCTTATAAACCATTATTAGGCCTCCACTTAATAACTTAAACTTTTAAAAGAGTTAATCCTTAACAGATGCCATTAAGCACAAAGATACAAAGCAAACATACTGACATATTTTTGCACTGTGGTTTCTCTCAAAATAGAGAAAGTAGAGATTATTGAAGAAACATAATGATTAATTTTATTAAAATGAAATAAAAAAATGTCATGACTAAATGCTCTTACTTAAGTTCATTTTTCTCCCAGAACAGTACAGGCTTACGCGAAGCATCGATTTGCAGAATGCTTATGTGAAGGGTAGGTAAAGTAAAAACAGAAAAGCTGCATCTGCCTAGATAAACTAAGTTTCCTCATCCTGCCTAGTATGGTACTATGGTATTTGCTCTTGAATTTCGCTTCCTTGTGCCTTAATATTTCCCAAACTGCCATATAAAACCCTGCATCCCCCACCCAGCTGTCCTAATGGAAACTCAGAGAAAACAGTATTAGATGGGGAACAATATTTGAGACAACATAAATTTAAGCTCAAATACCTGAAATTGCCAAATTTTGGGAGCTTAGATTCCCATATGAAGGAAGCAAGGCTGCTGGAGCTGTTACCAGTTCTTGACGACCTTGAGTTTTGACATATCCTTCTAGTAAGAAGGCAACTGAATGAAGAGGGATTTCTATTGTTTCTCCTCTTATGTATATGGTCATTTCCGATCGTTCGGCAATAAGAGCTCTTAAATCTTGCATGGCCAGTTTTTCAAATATCTGGGGAAGCAATAGTTTGGAAAGAAAAATCGCACTTTCCTACAAATCATGATAAATTTAGTATATGACCAAAACATATTCATTATAATACTTTGAAAGTAATTATGTCATCTACCATTTCTATATTTTCTACAGCACCAAACATAAACAAGACATAACTCTATGAACTATGATATACTCAATAAACAGCATATCTTAAAGATGCGTTTTTCACATTGTAAAACTTAATCCCAGTTGAGCTGCAGAGACATATGAAATTCATAGACAATGCATGCTGAAATTTCAGAATGCAGTGACATAAGCAGTCAGAACTCAGAAGTCATTAATGTGAAAGCAGCAGTAGCAATAATGAATTATTAATGTAACCATACCTGCCACAGGAAGTCTTCCACGGAAGGGTCTGATTTGAGGCATGAAATTATCTTATCAGCTTCAAGAAAAAAGCAGAATACCATGGAATCTGTGATGACATCACAAATATATGGTCTTCGGGTCAACACTTCATAAAGACCCAATGTGCTCCCATGAGTAAAAGTTTGATAAAAAGAGTGCTTGTTTCTTATCGTCTTGCTTTCCCACTGGAAAAACAACAATTTTCAAAAGATGCATCTTGTGTGTACAATCAGAAATTATATGTTAAGCTCCATACTTCAGAGAATTTAATACCTTCACCACTCCATTAGAAATTAACCAAATACCATTTGATTTGGCACCTTCCTTGTAAAGTGTCAAACCACGCAATTTCATCATTTCCCTGGTACTGCTTGCAAGTGGTTCACGAACTGAAGATGGCAGAGCACCCAACATAGGATGTATACTACTTATTTTAGGAAGCTTAACCAAAGGAGGATTTCTAAGTAATTTTTTTAAATCAGTCTGAAAAATAAATGAATCAATTAATAGATGAAGAACCCAATTATAACTCAGAGAAAAGTGAACTATAAGACAACAGACACATAGAAAGTATGAATATCACCACAAGATACCTGGACAGCATCATGAAGATGTAGCATTTCTTTCTTTTCCAATATTCCAGCCTTCTCAAGGTTTTGAACATATTCAATTAAATGATTTAGCACTACATATGTTGCTTGCCTTGTTTTTACAACACGCAAAACCTGAGAATTAGACATTCATCATATAAACAAATTGAAAAAAAAGTTTATTTAACACTTCATAACCAAAAATATAATGCCTATGAACCCTAAACTGATAAACAGAGACGAGACCAATCAATTTGACATTGACTGGCCTAATCCTAATCCAAACAGAGTCCAGTAAAACTTAAAACAGAAAACATTGGAGGGTATGTTTAACAAGGAAACCTGAGGGTATGTTACACGGACATCTTCTAGGAACTTCCGTGCTTCTTCTCCTTCTTCAACACTTTCATTGATGACAGCAGAAGCAACATCGCTGTCACCTACAGAAGAAGTATATGTAGAGGAAATTAAAATTAATGATCCTAAATAAAAAAAAATGTTATCTGAACTGCACAATGATCTAAGAAATTATGTAGGCAACACTCGTTTGTGATAGTCAAGCTGCAGTGCGTATTGCCTCTAATCCAGTATTTCATAAGAAGATCAAACCCATAGAGATAACTTGTCATTCCATCAGAGAAAAGATCTTATCAGGAGATAATGTCACTTACTTCGTCAGTTCAAATGATCAGTTTATAATTGCCTTCACTATGTCTTTGAGTGATCCTCAAATAAGTTACAAATGTATATAACTTAGATGTTCCAGTTTGAGGGGGAGTTTTAGATACCATGTAAATAGTGTCTATGTTCATTGTACATACTTGTCTAAGATTCATTGTATATACTAGCCAGAATCATGCAATCACAGTAATTAGGATAACCATGATATTTGTATTTATTACTTTTTTGTTTATATAATTAAAATCTACTCTCTGTTCTGTAGTTTAGATACAAATTTTCACCAAATGTCTCGTTTCCTCCTTAACAAAATGCATAATTTCCTTACGTTGGTATGAAATTTGCGAACACCCTATTCAACCCCATCTTGGATGATGGTTGCCATGACTGACAATTATGCTAAAAGAGTTAAGTTAAAACAGCTAGTAAGGGATAGAAAACAGAATGGAATAGAGATGATAAAAAAGGAAATTAGAAAACTCAAAATAGTATTAGGAAAACAAATAGACAAAACTAATGAGATAGACTATTACCTATGAAGTCATGCAACTGTTGTCGAGCAATTCTGTGGGCACGAAGAAATGAAGCACAGATATAACATGCAGATTCCAACCTTTCCACAGTGAAGTATGTCACTAGTTTCGGTGGTAACATACTAGACTGGAGGAACTTGTAGTAATTTGGGAAGTGAACATTAGCTTTTAAACCTTTCCAGTCACATAGAGGCTCATATTTAACCAAATCTATTGCTTCGTCTACTGATAGCATTAGGATACTAGCTGTATTTTGAGAAATTCTTCCTTCATCAAGCATCTCCCAGTAAGCAGCTTGGACACCTAATATGAGCAATAAGTTCTCAAATTAGTAATTGATATTAATATAGTTGAAGCAGCCAAATTAATAGTATTAGCAAATATGACTTGGCTTATCAAAGGACTTAGCCAACAAAAGACTACCACCAAAATAAGTTTGTTTAGAATGAGATGAGATCCAAGGTCTCAAGGTTTATGTCAGGAAGAAGAAGGGCAAACAAGAGGAAGATGCTGATAAACATGTGGGAGAAATTGCTGAAGAGTTATAGTGTTGCTGTTTCTGTTAATATGTTGTTGTTAGTAGCTTATTCGGTTATTTCAGTTTAGCGGCTGTTATTAGTTGTGCAAACAGCCTGGCAGTTGTATTGTATAAATAGGGGACTGAGTAATTGTAATAATCACGTTGGAAGTCATTTGAGAATTAGAATCATTCTTGAATATTAGGAGGGAAGTCAGGGCCTCTCGAATTGCCCTAACCGACTGCAATAGTGGTCATTGTAATTCCAATTCTTGCATTGAATAATAAATGAGAAAATCCAGATTACACTCTCTGTCCTTATTGTTCTTGCTGTTCTTGGGTTTTGGGTGAAACGGGGGAGTGGGATCTTATCAGAATGTAATTGTTTTTGTGTATGCCTGTCATAAAACTAACCAACATTAGTTAACAAAAGCAACTTTTGTAAAGCAATTGCAAATATACATCCATGTGAGAACAATAGTGGCATCTTATTAACTTCGGCCTTTAGATGAACACAATCATCATGAATAATAGTGTTTTGCCATCGTAACAAATCCATCCATCAAAATTGTATTTGATCATATGAAGATTTTAAATTTAATTTATATGCACAGATTGGTTGCCAGAAATTTAAAAGTAATGCAAAGCTCTATTCTAACTGGAAAAATGTCTAAGAATGTAGTCACTTAGAAATCTGAGAAACCGTTCAATTTTCCCAAAAGCTTAGGTTGTTGGGAAAAGACACATGAATGGTTTTTATTATATCTCTTAACACATCCCCTCATGCGAGAACCCTTTGTGTGAAGTGCTGAAATTTAACTTTTTTTATAAAAAGAATGGTGCTGCAAGGATTGAACTCTAGACCACTTAGCCATAGACTCTGATACCATGTCACGCAACCAACGTTGGGGAAAGGCACATGAATAGTTTTTACAATATCTATTAACATAGTCCAAGCTCTATCCCTTCATTGCAACTAAAAATGCCAAAAAACTGAAAGTAAAAGGAAAACAAGATGCACAGCTAAAAGGTTAATTGAAAACACATTTCTTTAACTTTGAATTGAACAAGTTTCGAAGAGAATTCTTAAATAAAAATGTGGACAACTAATTGTATGAAAGCTTCAGTTAAATTGAAAAAATCCAACAATGAAATCCAAGGATAATCCCCTAAAATATATTTGTTCTTACAGATGCAATAAGGTTTCTTATAATTATGTATCTTCCCTTTACTTTTTTGTATCATAAATTAAAGGATTGCAAAGGTTTAGAATATTTGAAGCAGTTAATCAAACAGAAACATCAAGTAAAGACTGGATAAGGTTCCTCCTGTTGTTAAAGCTCAAAGAATTGATGCACATGATGAGAAAGTATGAAGTTAAACAACTCTTAGGATTAAACAAATCTAAAAGTTACCATACCATTTAGAAGCCGTACTCGTATATCTTTCAAATTCATAGGATCCAGATTATTATCACTTTCAGATGCACCATGAGGGTGAACACGTTCACCTTCAATGTCATTTAAGCAGGAGATATATCTCTTCACTGTGGGCCAGTCAGCAGGCCCGAGTTCCTCATCATCTCCAAGTTCACCAAAAGCCTCTAATGCTTTGTTCAACATTTCATACTTTGTAAAATCAAGGATACGTCTCTGTTATTACACAAGCAAAACATGAGGGCCAGGACCAAATAGAAAGAAGAGAAAAAGCTATAGCAAAGGGGCAGTTCATAGCAGTAATAAAAGAATTTTTGCAATTCTTATTTTCCCTTCTTAACTCATTCTCCTAATCAACAAAGCTTCCACCTTTGCAAACCCATTTGGAGGACAGCATATTTTCTTGCAAAGAAACTTGACAACATTGTAGCTTTTTTTTAGCCTCTTTGGCTCACTAACTTCATTTTTGCTCTTTTCTATTTATAGTTTCTACTTTATCAAAACAACAGTTGCAACTTGCAAATACAAAATCACTACCATATGTTCACAAGTGAATTACATAGATAAGATATTTTTCAAGGTATTTCCTTAGATTTAAAAGAGAAAGAGAGAGAGAGAGAGAGAGAGAGAGAATTAAGACAAAACATGAAGACATTGGGGCACCACTTAAAATATGAGATATCAAAGTCTTTCATCTATCATAAAAAGAAGATGGGAGAACCCTGACCTTAGCTGCTGATAACTTATCCATGTCAAGGAAGTGTAAAATGAACTGTGTGGTTGAACCATTCACTATAAGTGTTAAAAACACAATTCCACCAGTGAAGAAAACAAACTGCACAATCCAAAAACATTTGAATCAGCTTATAAAGAAAATTATAATATGAAGGAGTTCTGGGTTGTGAACTTGTGATGACCTTGCAAAATGATAGAAAAGAGTTTGTAATTTGTAAGTGTTTTATTAATATAAATAACAAAACATACCAGTGTTCCCGTCTCTGGAGTCAATTCAATTGATCTGCCACTGGAACTCTAAACCAACAAAAAAATTAATAATTAAAAGATTCAACTACAAAAATATGAACATGAATATTAATGATAGCCTCATGCAGGCACACTTATTTCCTCTATAATGTATATTATAGAGGAAAACAATTGCTGTGGACTTTGTTCTGGTGTATAGATAGATATAGAAATATATGAAATATCCTTAAATTTGTTAATTGTGATGAACCATAAATACAGAATACCATTCTGAAATGCATTTTGTTACAACAGTAACTTCAAGATACTATCGCATGTGATGGAGCCTGTTTCTGTAATGAAGTACAAAAAATTTTTAAAAAAAAAGAGAGTAAATACCCTTTTTGGTCCTCAGCAAATTTCACGATGCCCGCTTTAGTCCCTAGCAAATAAAAAGGCCCACTGTGGTCCCTAAGAAATTCAAAATGGACCCATTTAGTTAAAATTGTGGTCCCTCACAAATTCAAAAAAGACCCATATTAGTCCCTAAAAGGACTAAAATGGGTTCATTTTGAATTTCTTAGGGACTACGATGGGCCTTTTTATTTGTTAGGGACTAATGCGGGCATCGCAAAATTTGCTGAGGACCAAAAAGAGTATTTACTAAAAAAAAAAGGAAGCTAAAAAATATAGATCATTTTACCAACGAGAGAAGAAAGAGCATGTATACAGAAGAATTTGATTACTTCTTATATGATACGTAAGCATGAATTTGTTTTGGTTAAAATACACTTATATAGTTATATTCCCTCTTTTCCAGGAAGACTCAGTTTTGCCCCTCAACTTTTCAATTCTCAAAAGCTTTAAGTACAATTATCTTTTAAGTGGACTAAATTTTATCATTTATATAATCTCTATATTAGGTGTGAATGTTATAACAAAATAAATACCAAGCGTTTACAAGGATTTCTACGGTTTACATCCTTATCAATCTCTCCCGTCTTTGCAATATTGATCCCTGATATTCTAAACACATATTTCTTGGGTTCCTCCTAGCCTAGCATATATGCACGGAATCTTGATTTCCTTATCTTGTCATAGCAAACTCACACTTCATGTACTTAATCTTACTCCAACTTAACGTAAATCCTTTAGACGCCGATGTGCTTTTCCACAATTCAACTTTTTTTTGTTAATACTAGCCTTGATCTTATCAATAAACACAATATCATCCACAAATAGCATGCACCGTGGCATCTTGTCTTGGATATCTTTTGTTAGCTCATCCATAACTAGGGCGAAAAGATACTGACTCAATGCAAAACCAAGGTGTAAACCTACTGTTATTAGAAAATAAGTTGATATTCCATTACCAATCTTCAAACAAGTAGTAACACAATCATACATAACCTTGATTGCCTCTATATACTTTGCTGGTACTTTTTTCTTCTTTATAGGTTGTCAGTAGCGGCCCGTAGCGCCGCTAAACAGCTACCGTAGCGGGTAGCAGCGGTCGGCCGCTACAAACCGCGACGCTACGCGACATTGGCCGTAGCGGAAGGTAGCGGCGTAGCGTAGCAGCAATACCTCTACCCGCTACACCACTCGCATGTTGGAATTTGATGGAGAATCCGGAGATAATGATGATTTTCTTTATTAGTTCACTTCTTGTACTTGACTATTTGACAATTTTATTGTTCAGTTGTGTTTAATTTTGGATCCTTCCTTTATGTTCCTTGTATTTGACATTGATTGTGGAATTATGTATTTGATTTTGTGTGACTTCTTATATTTGAGCATTAATACTAAAAGCGGTATTGCCTCGTTTCTTGACTGTTAGTATAATATATGTGGAATTAATACTTCACCGTAGCGGTAATACCGCTACCCGCTACACCGCTATACCATTTTCGGGGTAGGCCGCTACTAGGGGTGGCAATACGGGTCAACCCGACACGACACGACACGTTTTTGACCCGTACACTATTTGACACGACCCTGACACGACCCGTTTTGTAAACGGGTCGTAAAACACAAACCCTGACACGACCCGTTGCGGGTCACGGGTCGACACGACACGACCCACAAAATTTAAAATTTAAAAAAAAATTGGGATTTTTTGAAAAATAAATAAATTTAAAACAATAAAAAATAAAAATAAAAATAAAAAAAGATTAGCTTCTGTTTTTTGAGATTTTTAGTTCCTTCTATTCTTTTCTATACTAAACAATGACTATATATATTAATATATAAATGAATAAAAATAATAATATAATAAAATATTTAATTAAAAAATAAAAAAATGACACTATGCGGGTTGACATGCGAACCCGCGGGTTGACACGTGACCCGACACGGAAAAAAACGGGTCACATTTACACAACCCTGACACGACCCGCCCTAACCTGTTGGTTGACACGACACGTGATTTGGCGGGTCGGGTCACGGGTCAACCCGAGGGTCAATACCTGTATTGCCACCCCTAGCCGCTACCGGCCGCTAACTGCTATTGACAACTATGATACTCACCATAGAACCTTTCTTGGAACCCTATGATACGCCTTCTCGATATCAATAAACAACTTATGTAGATTTTTCTTCCTTTCTTAATATCTTTCATCAACTGTCGTATCAAGAAAATAGCCTACGTGGTAGATCTTCCTAGCATAAATCCATATTGATTTGCAGAGACCTTATTCTTTATTCTCAAAAGATGTTCAATAATTCTCTCTCACATCTTCATTGTAAGGCTTATAAGCTTAATGCCTCTACAGTTCAAATAATTCGGGATATCTCCCTTGTTTTTGTGAATAAGTACAAGTATTCTCTTCCTCCATTCATCAGGCATCTTATTAGTTTGGAGAATCTTGTTAAAAATATTTGTCAACCAACTTATTGTCACATCCCCTAGGCATCTCCACACTCTCGGATACCAAAGCTTTACTATTCTTCATCTTCTTTACTACCTCCTTAACATAATGCACTTTAACTCTATGCACAAACCTTCTCTTTGAATCCTCATAAGCGTCCTTCAATATCACCTCACTTTTATCGCTATCTCTATTAAAAAGCTTATAAAAATAGTTCATCCATCTTTTTTTAACTTTTGCATCTCTTACTAAAAGTTTTTTTATTATCATCCTTGATACAACTAACCTAAGTCAAAGTCTTTACTTTTCTTGTCCTTTATCTTGGCAAGCCTATACATACATTTTTCACCTTCTTTGCTCTCAAGTTTTTTGTACATATCAAATAAAACTTTGCCTCTAGCTTCTCGCACTGCTTTTTTGGCATGTTTTTCTGGCCAATCTGAACTTTTGCAAATTCTCCTCCATTAGACATTAGTTTCATTACTTGTTATAGGAGTTTATCTTATTGCCCCTTCTCTTTATATGTTTCCTTTGAATAAAATTTCTTCTTTTTATCAAAAAAAATAAAAATGAAAATCCAAAAAGTACGTATCTCTCTTGTAAATAATGATAAGGCACTATATCCATGAAGAATTATAGCAATAAGCATAATTTTTGGGGTATAAATATGCATCATTAGTCATTGAATACTTACTTTGACTGATAAAGAAAGTGACAAGGCAACTGCTCCTCGTAATCCTGACCAGATGAGAATAATAGCTTCTTTCCATTCCAAACCATATCCAAAATATCTTAGAAAGGGAAATAATGCTCCAACTACAATGCATCGAGACACTTGAACATATACATAGAGAAGCAAGAGGTTGACCCATGATTTTCCTACAACAGAACCAATAGTTAGTAGTCACTCCTTTAGACTTAGCAAAGATAAGTATTCTAATAAGAAAAGGGCAAGCAGCACCGACAAGAGCTTCTACAAATCATAAGCTAATCAAAGCATCTAAATTGAGTCATTGTTGCCTCTTTGAGAAGAATGTGATCGTCAGAGTAATATTTTTTCCGCAACTCTCCTTGGCCTTGTCATTATGTAAGGTATATAATGTAGAGGGAAACCATTAACTGAAAATACGTCTTTACTGTTGATCAATTTCAAAAGTAAGACTAAAATATTTAAATCATGATAAGATTTTTGCGAGAGCTCTCATGCACAGTAACATGAGGAAGATAGCAAGAGAAACACAATGGACTGACATTGTAGGAGGATATGTTATTTAAGGGTAAAGGTAACAATTTAAAGAAATTCTATCTCTTGAAATCTGTATTGACTTGCCAATTTCCCCCTAGATGAGTCAGAGAGGATGGATACAAACTATGGAAATATAACTTCCTCTTGCAAAATTAAGATGCATCAGCACAATCATACAAGAGTGCAATAAGCTCCTGCTTATAATTCAGCAACATTTTCATGTATTCGCATTTGATATATTACATGGTATGGCTTTGCCCAATTAAATAAAAACAAAGAAAATAATCCAGGGCATACTGAGAAAATAAAAGAATTTAAAATTGATCAAAGTGATTGCTACCATGATAAAAAACTTTGTCATCAACAAGTATTCCTTCAGCTATAACAACACCACTGCAAAAAGAAGATAAGAAGATATTAATGAAAGTAATATACTAGTAAAAATGTGTCATAGAAGCTCAAAACTGTGTTCAACCAGAAAAAACATATTTGTTAGATTTATCAAACCAAAATGACATGAACAGCCTGTTTCACAAGTCAAACCAATAGATCATGATTTAGGAATCCAACTAAGCTCTTACCTCAAAATGAAAATTAATGTATTAGCAATATAAGCAATCATTTCCCTGGAGAAAAATAAATAAAGGATTAAAACGATTATTACATTTGACAACAAAATATAAATATGGGGACAGAAAATGATAGGATCTACTATGACAAATCTAAGACCTTACCTTGCTGCAGCACAAGGCACACAGTGATTCACTATTTTAGCTTTCAGTCAGAATCATAGAAATAATATTAAGACAGAAAGAAAAGAAAGATACATAGAGAGGACAAGTAGTCTACTTGAATTAAACAGAACAGTGACTCATTATAGAGAAAATACATTAAAATAGTAAAAACCTCCTATCTCGCAGTAAGTCAGACCCCACAAAGTGATCGTCATTAGCTGAATACCATAAAGATGCCAAAAATAAAATATTGAAACAACTTAAGGGGAAGGGGTATTCTTCTTGAATATCCCAGCATTCCATCTCAACCATTTTTCTTTTTTCTTTTTTCTTTTTTATATCAACATCACCACTATCCCAAATTAGTTGAAGTTGGCAATCTATGGATACAAGTAAAAGCAAGATTAGATTGAGGGAAAAGAAATAATAGATAAGAAAAATAATACACACACAGAGAGAGAAAAAATCCATCCCTCCACAATGCTAATTGCTTTCCTCTACTGCGTCCTAAGATACCAAACACCAATCTATTTCACACTTCATTAAGTCTTGTTTTACTACTTTATACCAAGTAAGTTTCGGCCAAATTATTCCTTTCTTTATATCATGCTCTAGGTAAAAAAATTCTTTTCTTACAGAACATCTAGGGGTCTTCAAAATATATGCCCTAATCATCTCAAACTATGTTCTCTCATCTTTTCTTCCGTACTTCTCTAACTTTTCATTGAATATCTTAATTTTTATCTCATTCATCGTTGTATGAACACACATTCAGCTTAACATCCTCATTTCCTCTACTCCCATTTTATGCTCACGTTCCTCCTATGCTGGCCAACATTTTAGTTATATCCCCAAATTTTCTATTGCTACTAGTAAAAATAATATATTTGTTCAATTTTGCTTCATTTATTTCATTCTTTTTTATTTCCTACACTACAAAAATAATCATCATATATGCTTATCAACGATGAAACTAGAGTAATCATATTACAAAGTGATGTGAGGGATAAGCAGACAAAACAGACAAGAAATCAACAAACAGAAAGAGCATTATCACAAAAGAACACTCCAGTCCTTATGCATATTAAAAAGGGGACCCTTTTTAATGAAGCCATTACATGAAACCCAAAAGGATGCCAGAAAACCCTTTAATGATGAATGTAAGAATATACGGGCAGGGGAAGGGGAGCCAGTGAAATATGTCTTTAATGTTCTGCAAAGAACTTATGATTCTGATAGATACCAGATCCAAAAAAGAGGAAAATTCAGAACCCAAGAAAAGAGTCTTGTATTAATAGAGCTGAGTTCATAATGGATTCAGCAAAACAAAACAATACTGGTAAAGAACCAATTCAACCCAAAAGCTTAAATTGTTACGTGAGGCCTTTTTAATGATTTATATTATTCTCTATTCTCTAACACACTCCCTTATGCAAGAGCCTTTTCCACTAGAAAGTGGGGGACAGTGAGAATTGAACTCGTGACCTCGTGGTCACTGAAGCTCTGATACCATGTAAAGAACCAATTTAACCTAAAATCTTAAGCTGCTAGGTGAGGCCCTTTTAATGGTTTATTTTGTTCTCTAACAATACTCCACTAATTTTAAAGGAAAATTAAAAGAAAGGAAACATATGAAAACTAGAAAAGAAAGTGATAGTTCAGAGCAATTGGAGAGGCTCTTATTCTCTCCCAAGTCCCCGCCCATGTTCCAAATTCTGCATAAGTCCCAAATGAACCCTGTTGCTCCCTATTTATAGTTTATACACAACCATATTCTGCATCTTGCCTCTAACCGATTCCCCCTCAACAAACACAGGAATATTCTTTCCTAACTGCCCACGTGCTGATTCCAAAGTTGCTAATGATTCTCTGTTGTATCACTTCCTATAAATACTCCTTTATAGCTAAAGGAGGTTTCCTAAGAGATTCCTTTTCTTTGTTCCTTTTTATTGCCACTAAAGTGAGTGTAAGTTGAAAATTAAGAGGGGGGGGGGGGGAATCCACACCGAATTAATCTAATTTATTTATACACAAGACAAGTAAATGGCATACCAAAAGTGATGTAAGCTTTGTTGACTTTCCCCCTTAAAGGCTGTCCTTGCAAATGCTGAATAGAACCTGTAGCAAGATTTTAATAACCAGATTTCCAAATTTTAAGTGTTAAAAGATATTTTGTACGAAAGATCAACTTACATTCCCAATGCCATCACAGTCAAAACACCAGATACAGCTGCACCCTCTTGAGCCTATAAAAGATTTTGGCCATCAATTTTTTTCATCCACAATATGAAAGCAATTCAAAATAACACCAAGAACAAAAACCAAATATGATGATAAGATTTCAAAAGATATAATCTCGCATCTTCTAAAGATGCATCCAAGAAATTGGAGTATAGAGAACAGGTACATCCCACTTGCATAATTATTCATATTGTAAATATAATCTATCAACTTATTAAAAGATGAATCCAAGTTTGAAAGCAACTTACAGTGAAGTAAGCAATGTAGCTAACAGCAAGTGTTAGAGAAATCTCTATCACTGTATCATTAAAAATAAACCCAAGCCACAAAACAGATGCTATCCCAAAAGCAAGGCCAATTCCTACACTGGACCAAGCACAGGGTCACATAAGAAAAGATAACTTTTGCCACTAATGCAACAGAGAAGCAGGTGAAAGTGAAACCTACGCTCCAAGTGAAACTTGTGCTAGAAATTTGATTATGGCAACCCAATTGAAGGTCTCTCCCAGAACCATTCGATAGAATAGTGTATAAACCACAATAGCCGTCCTGAAAAAAAATGAAGATTAAGCTTTGTCGAAGACAAAATAAAAGACCTCCAAAATAATCATCACATAAAAAAAATAGTAACTCATTCTAAGTGTTAACAGCTTTAAGCCACTTCCTACAACCTAGATTCATTTAGCAAACACAGAAATTCATTTGAAGGGTAGATGATAGTTTAAAGAAGAACAAAATACCCATCATTCATCAAGGATTCCCCTTCAATTATTGTACTTATTTTTTTGCTTGCACCAAGATCTTTCAACAAAGCCACAACAGCAACAGGATCAGTTGCACTCAGAAGTCCCCCAAGCAACAGTGATGTTTTCCAACTCCAGTTATATGGAAAGGTAAGCTGCATTATGACAATTGAGTTATAATCATATGAAACGAATGATGAAATGTAAAAACATTGGTTCACATACCTTCAAAACAGATCCAAGACAAATGGTCGAAAGCACAACACCTGGACCAGCTAGTATGATCATTTGTGCAATACACTTCTGCATTCAGTCCAAAAAGACATTTCTGTAAATCAACAGTTAATGAATTATAATAAAAACATCTGTTTTTTTCTCTGTTTAGCCATATTCATTGCAAGCTACTTCCAATCTTGTCAATTTAATTTCTTCCCCTTCCATTTGGGAGTAATGATAACTCCAAGAAATGAGTTATATTATATGGTCCCATTGTGTGCATTAAAGATTTTTATGCCCTTGATATTTGACATAGAATTGTTAGTTTTATGCTTAGTTTTTAAGTTAGTCTTTTATATTTTGAGTTTACATAACTTCGGTCGGATTTTGTTGGGCATTTGGTATTCTTTATTTTAGCTTAATTTTGAAGGTGCAATGGCAAGACGTAAGATAATCAAGTGCTGTTCAGGGAAACTTTTTCTGTAATTTTCATCTTATCACTTTCCCTGGCTCTGTCTGGTTGAGTCTATGAACTTTAGAGGAATTTTGGGCCAAATTACTTAAATTCTAGTTGACAGACCTACAAACCTTGCCCTAGTACGAGCATATTTTTTTTTTACAGACCTTGGATTGTGCTGATTTTGGCTGTTCCAGAAAGCTAAGAAAAAGATATACAACTTTGCTGAAGACATCAAAGCCTAGTTCATGCACATTGAGGGTGAAAACTTGCATGCAAATCATGTGACGCATTGGAAGCAATGCCACGACGCCTAAGTACTAATGATGGGGACTGTTATTTCAACATTCCAAGGGTATTATTGGGAAATCTATAATTATTTTTAAATTTTTCTTGCTTTTTGTAATAATTTTATATCAGAGGATATAATATCCTCTGTTTTCTATGTTTTTTGACTCTATTCACTTTTTACTATGGAGAAAGTTGGGGCTTCATGGAATTTAGAAAGCAAACAAACAAGCACAACAGTTTTCAAATTACATCTAGAAAAGGCACCACAGCTTACATAAATTACATATTTTAGGCAAGAGTTTATATATTGAATATGCATAACAAATTGAATGGGCCTGCACACAATCATGTAAGAATGTGCCAATGCATGCGTACATATATGAGACGGGAACTAGCATAACAGTATGACACAATCACTTAATAACTCAAATAAAAGTTTGTACTCATAGAAGAAACCAAGAAAAGAAACCTTAATTTGGTGAACTTCCATTGAGAATGAGCTCTCGAAAAGGAGAGCAGGAAGAAAAACAGCTAACAGAAGTTCTGGATTAATCTCTGACCCTGCATTTTAAAAAATATCAATCACTTCAATTATTTTTAAATAACAAGCAGTGAAGATCAAAGCTCCACAAGTTGAAACATTTTCTAAAAGCCCAGTGTCTATACATATGTTCCAAAGCTGTACAATGAAAAACCTTTTCCTTGTTTTCTTTTATTGGCAAATACATAATTTTCAAAATAACTGGAATAAAAATAAAACAAACTTACAAATACGAATTCCATCCCCAATCTTTCCCAGCCGATGATGTGTACCATATTCTGTTTAGAAGTCCACCAAAAATCAGTCAAGTTATTTATATTTTTAAGAAATAAAAAGGAAATAAATGGAATATGTTCTATAATATTGAATTGAAAAAAAAAAGAGTGTATTTTGTATGAGGAGGCAAACAAAGAGTACTTTAAATGAGAAGAAACTTAGGACCCTGATCAAAGGGCAAAAGTATACAGTGCAGAAAGTCTATCCATCAGTTGTCATATATATTGGCAGAAAATAGTTTTCAATCTTTGAGAAACCTAGAAACACCACATTCTTTTAAGAATACTTTCCATTGCCAGGATTTGAACTGGGAAGCACAACATTTTCCAACAATAGGAAAGTTTTCAGAGGCCCATGTGTCCTCTAATGAGGCAAAGAATGAAGTAAAATTATAGATAGAAATGATAATCAACATGCATACGTTTAATACTTTCTACAAACCAGAAAAGGGTGTGTAAGAAGCACGTTCTAACTCTTTCTAGTTTCCTTGAGACTGCTATCATCCCAGGTTAGCTAGATGTCATAAAGGGTGTGTATCCTAGCCTAGATGGTCATGAATATAACTAGTTGAAACTACAACAGTCAGTAAATTACAGATGGTTGGTGCAATAACGTGATATTGATACACATAAAAAAGACCCTTTAAAAGAAAAATAGATGAAAAATTGTCTTACTGTATGTTATTAGAGAAGTATAATTGTGTTTTTGTCAGTTATCAAGACTTCATACAACTTGTCTTCACCAGTGTCACTTCAGTAGTAAACTAGCAGTACATCTTAATTTATGTTCACTTTGGCATTACCTGTTTTCCTTTTTTTTATCTAATTTTAATAATGAATTCCAATAGATCATGTATTGATCCTCTGAAATATGTTTTATGTAAGCATGTGTAACTTGGTTGGAATTTCAAATCCTTTTGACTAAACAGTTCAGAATAAAATTTCCTATAAAAACAAAGAGAAGACCGATTAGCCCTTGCATGCAAGAAGCTCAAGACTAGGAGTTTGGAAAATGAGAAGCTAAGACTTGGAATGAACAGTGTAGAGCATGACAAATGAAACTAAGACTAGGCATTTGAAAAATGAGAAGCTAAAAAAGATCAAAGTAGAGTTAATCAAATAATGTATATAGAATCAAAAAAGATAAGAAAGTTCCACTATAAACTGGTTATTTCCTCTTCTTTTGTTTATGATGAATAAATTATCAACAACCTTTTACTTGAAATATTCTCTTTTTCCGCTCGAGACATGGTGAAGAAAATACCAAGATGGCATGATGTTGGCATAAGAACTAGCACTTAAAGTAACATTAAATATTGTGATTTGATCCTTTTTTAAGAATATGATCCGGATCTAAACTAAACACAATATTCAATATCCCATTCCTTCTCAAATTTATTCATGGACTAAAACTAGGAATTTGAGGAGTTAAAATCGTTGCTCTACTGAGTTTCAATTCTCTCAAATGACATGCTAAAGGAGGCAAACATGGATCAAACTATTAATCATATCGGTGTTTCTCCTTTTTGGTACTAAAATCGACAATCTCATTCCTCATCCTTATAAAGCAAGTCAAACATTCCCATATGCCTTTTTGACATCAATATCTTTGACCTTGTGCTTCAATATTTTGATCACACAAACTCATCCCGAGAAATCCAAGGTTAAGTGATTCAAAAAAAGCAAAGCAAACCAATCACAGAATTAATAAAAAAATAATAATAATAATAAAAAGATGAAAAAAAAAAAAGAAAAGAAAGGGAATGAATGAACCTATGGATCCAAGGGCAATGCCAAGGATGAGCAAGGCAACAGTGTAAGGAACTCTGGTCCCACGCAAGAGGTGCCTACAAGCAATCCCCAAAGCCAAACTGAGGCCAAAGAAGATAACAGCATCTGATGGATTCGAACGTTCCTCCAAAGCAGAAGAAGAAACAGCATCAACAACAGAAACAGGAAGAAGCTCTTGCTCCATGATTCTTGAGGGAAGCAGTGATTCCGTCACCGCTTCCATTCAGAGCAGCGAGAGATGAAAAAACTGTGAAGTTCTTATCAGGTGTTTGCATCAACCACGCAACAGAGAGGTAACGATGCGTATTTTCGTCGTTTCGTTGGTTTTTGACTTTGGAAGTCCAACACGACAAATAAAAAAAGCACAGGAGTGAGTGTGTGACTGTGTGTGTGTTCCAAAATATAAGCTGTACTCAAATAACAACTCTAGTAAGAATGATGAACGATTCTTAGGATGTTGTTATTTGTTGTTTGCAACAACAATTGGCATGTTTAAGAGATTTTACGAGAGAGAGAGATAGAGATACGATCCCTGTTTCAATGGTTTGGTTTTATTTATTTATTTAAATATTTCAATCAATTTATCATTTCAAGATAAATTGGATAGTGACGAATTTCGAGATAAAAACTTGACTAAATACTTTTTTTTTTTTCTTAGCAAATTTCACGATGTTCGTTTTAATCTCTAGCAAATAAAAAGGCTCATTGTTATTTTTAAAAAATTCAAAATGGACTCATTTTAGTCCTTTCGATATGGATCTTTTTTGAATTTGTGAGGAACTACGATTTCAACTAAATAAGTCCATTTTGAATTTTTTAGAGATCACAATGAGCCTTTTTATTTTCTAAAGACTAAAGCGGGCATCGTGAAATTTCCTGAAGATCAAAAAAGATATTTACTCTACAAACTTTAAACTTTTTAAAAAAATAATATTTAAAAAAATCGAATACATGTTCTTACATCACGAATTGAATTATCATTGTTTGTTAGGTAGTTTGGAACCTTGATGGGTTATGATGTCAATCACGACAAAAAGGAGGGCGATTGTTAAATTGACTGAAGATTAGGATCAGGATCCACTTTCTGTTAGGTATAATTTATTAAAAAATAAACAATTCACCTTTCTCTTCAACAACGTATCACATTATTATGTTAACATATAACATGAGACAATCTAAAATGTTCTTTAAAATAATAAATGTTACTTTTTAGGTTAAGCATATACTCATTCATGCACCCCAGTACTTAAAAACTTTTTGTAATTAGTGGTCTCTAAATTATAGGAATGCTGACAACACAATCTTTTTGCCGCATTTTTTTTAATATTTGTATGAAAAAAAGTGTGTCATTTTAAAGAATATAAAATTATATTATTTTAAGTGAAAGAAACAGATAAATCATAAAGAAAAGAGAGTGGACAAAATAAAAATAAAAATATGGATTCCACTTTCTTATAAAAGTGAAATAATATAAATTATGTCATTTAAAAAAATAAATTTTTTTTTTAATTATTGAGTAATGTTTTACGAACCAGTGAAAAAAAAAATTGATGGGAATCTTCTCAGTATCGTTTTCTTTCTTTTATTAATTTGTTCTTTACGAACTTTTAAGATTTAACTAAGACTAACCTGTTTTGTTAAACTTCTCTTGTAAAAGCAACACTCTTTTTTGGGACATTTGTAAAGCAACCTTGCGGCAACGAGAGAGAATCTGCGTGCCTCGAACTAGAAAGATATGGTATATCCTTTTCAATTTACATATGCCTCGTGAAATTGCATTCTCTCTCACACACAAGTGGATAAAATATTAACCAAGTTAACAGAATTATAATTTAAATTATCTTATCGCAATTAATTTAGTTTATTTTTATTTTAATTAGTTTAGTTTATCTTAATAAATTTGATTTATCTCATTTCAAATTATGTTACGTTTTATCCATTAAAAAATATAAGTTATTATAAAATAAGAGAAAATGTTTTCTGTTTCTGTTACAGAAAATTTTTATCTACCACAAAAAGAAAAAAGAAGTGGGTCCATTAGTTACCATGTTCTCTCTTTTTATGGATATCTTTCTCTCGTTTTTTTCTCTACGTGACATATAAAAAATTTCTACCACAGATGTAGAAAATATTTTTCCATAAAAAATAAATAGCCCAATGATCACAAATAAATCAAGTGTTCCTTCCAATTATCTCTTATCTCTCCTATCCTCTCCCTTATCTAACTTTTCTCTCCATTTTCCCCCTCCTTCTAGCTTGTTAATCTTCTTCCAAGTTATTTGTGTCATGTGAACACAATATTAGTGAAAGAATCTCTCAATACACAATTTTATTAATGTCAACCTGCATAATAAGTGAGATTCTTTGTATCATGTCATATTAGCCTGTAAAATTAGTGAGTGGTGTTCATATCAACTTTGAGTCAGGCTCCAAACTCATACGAACACAACCCACACAAATTGTCAATAAAGGTGCAAATGGATTGGGTCAGGTTAAGCTTTGATCCGAATAGGTTAGATTTATGTAAAATATTTTGAGTCTAACCTATTAATCTGGTGCTACATTATAGGTTTGGTTTGGTATATATTTAAAGGAGAATGATATTATAACAACCAATTAGTATCACTACCAATATTACTACTAATCAATTTCACCGTTAGATCGATTATGTTGATCCAGCGGTTATATTTATTTTCGTCTTTGTATGGTTATAATTCCTTATATTTAATACTTTATATTTATTTTTACCTTTGTATGATTATAATTTTCCATATTTAATGTTTTCACATTAAATATGGAGAATTATAACCATACAAAGATAGAAATAAATATTACCGTTGGATAAATATAATCGATCTAGCGATGAAATTGATTGGTAGTAACACTAATTGGTTGTTACAATATCCTACCTCATATTTAAAAATAAAAAAATTAGTTTAGATCTATCAATCTGTTTAAGCATATCAAGTCTTTAATACCCATTAAGAATTAGAACAAATAAATAAATAATATTATTTTTGTTACAGACCTTGAGGTCACCACCCCAAAAGCTAGCTTAAAAGGTGGGAGTGCACAAGGCCTTATAAATCCATCATTAGCTTCCTATACCACCAATGTGGGACTCGTAACATTGCCACCCCTTTAAGGGCCGACGTCCAAGGCGGCTTTCACTCTATCGACACTGACCCGACGGTAACCCTTTTCCCCCTTTGGGGGCGGCTTCACTCACCGATCAGTATTCAGTGCCCAAAGACACCTTAATCCAGTCTATAGGTAGCCCTTTTCGTGGCCTCAACTCTCAACGAAAGCACTAATTGTTACGGACCTTGAGGTCACCACCCCAAAAGCTAGCTCAAAAAGTGGGAGTGCCTAAGACCTTATAAACCCCACATTAGCTTCCTATACAACTAAACTAATGTGAGACTCGTAACAATTTTATTAATAAAAATATTAAAATAATTATTTTTTATTTTAAGTATGATATAAGCCTGTCCGTAATTAGGCCTTGTAAATGTAAGCTTATAGCCTGATTTCTACTCTTTAAGATTTAAATATATTATATTTTACTAAGGCAAAATTAATTCTTATGTCGCAGGAATTTATTAATCTCCTGTGGTTCACACTTCGAAAAATGGGCCAAACATTTTTTATTTTTTATTTCACAAAGTCTGGTGGGGTCCAACTTGTTTTCTCGAAAAATTGAAAATCTTCTGCGGCTGAAGAAAACCAAAGCCCACTAAGGCAAAATTAATTCTTATGTCGCAGGAATTTATTAATCTCCTGTGGTTCACACTTCGAAAAATGGGCCAAACATTTTTTATTTTTTATTTCACAAAGTCTGGTGGGGTCCAACTTATTTTCTCTGTGCAGGAAAAATTGAAAATCTTCTGCGGCCGAAGAAAACCAAAGCCCTTTTACTAAATATATTGGGTCAGTTAATAGTCGAAGGTAAATCATTTTGCGGCTATTTACGCCTCTCCTCCAAGGTTGCAGCTCTTCTATTAAAATTTCTTTATATCTCAATAAATTGTAAACATAGCGAGGTCAATTTGTTTAAAAATAAAATTCAGATTAATAGTGTTTTAAAAACGCAATCAAATAAATCCAAACAATAAAACTTTTAAACTAGCATTTTTTTACCGAAGAGAGGGGGAAGACTAGTCGTCGAGTGGCTCCGAACAGAGGGTAGGTTGAGGTCATCAATGTGGATGTTAGCTTGCGGTTTCTTTCTTTGTATGAATTGAGGACAATGGGTAACGTTTGATCAATAAGTCAATATTAATATCCTTTACTTGTTCACTTTAAACACAATTTCAATTTAGAAGAGTCGTGCCTAATTTGACTCAACCCAAAATCTATTTTTAACTCTTATCGCTTTCCATGACTCAGCATAAACTCATTTTCGTAACTCGTGAACACCATTCTGATTTACACTTGGAAAAAGAAAAATGAGGTTGAGTCATAGGTCAATAGTTTGTGTATGAATTCATCTAACTCGAGTGAATTTGATTCACATGTGAGAGTACACTCCCAAACCATAGGCAATCACAATTGGGAACTTAATGAATCTTGCTTAATTTAAGTATCACATCAATATGAAAATCAAAAGTGGCTTATAAATACATTAGTGTCCTGGATTAGCAATCCGTTGGCATTCAATAAGTTAAGAAAATGTAAAGGAAATCTATACGAAATGTATAGTTATGTTGTAATATTAGGCCTCTCTCTTCTTTTTTTTCTTTTTCGTTTCTGGTAAACAAATATTAGGCCTCTCTATTCATTGGTTAAGAGGATTTTTATATTGTTGTTTAAATCTTTTATTATTATTTTTTCTTTTCTTTTCTACATTATTTCAGTTGTTTGGATTTTAGTTTTTAGCAAGGTTAGTTACAAGTTCTCATCGGAACAATACTTTCTCATTATTTTATTAGGTATTACAATACATGAATAAATCCAACAACAACCAGTAAATAGGTCACAAGTAATAACACAAAGAGTGAAATGTCACGATTAAACAAATATTAAAATAATGTCTAAAAAATTGTGTTAATAGCATTTTCAAAAATTATTGTACTTATTGTAACGCGTGAAGCAGTATTATGATATTGAAAATGGGATAACCTCTTTAGTAACTTCTCCCCTAAACTTTTTGTCGTTAAAAAAATAATAGTAAGATAAAATGCATTTTATTCTCCTAATTTATTATTCTTATTGTACTTTGCATCTCAATTTATAGACCCACCATCATTTTATATTATCTACTGCTATGCTCTTTTAATGATAAAATTAAATTTTATTTTAAATTAATTGACTTAAATGATCAA